AAAGGGTTTTTGCGGAGCTTTCTGAAGATTTCACATCCTCGCCTCGGAAAAAGCTTTCCACACAGAATATATTTATGTATCGCGGTTTTATGAATACTTGAGCATCTTTTTCACTTTACCACAAAATTGTCTAGTTGCGCTGCTGATCCATTCGACAGTGTGGAAAGGGCAGAGAACTCGCAGGAATCCGGCATTGTGAGTTTGTGAATGAAAGAGTGTCTGATGGAAATTCGCACCGAAACTTCCAAGTTGACGGCGGAGAAGTCATTCACCTGATGTCTGTGCATAAAGCCATGGCTGAGAATCGTTATAAAGAGGAGCTCTAAAAGACTCCCCGAAAACAATCCCATCGGTCGTCACTTCTTGGCTGTCTTTTTCACTCACTTTCTTAACGATTCCATCTTCATCATTCATCCCACCTCATGGATGCTTTCTTCCCCACTCGTTTCGGGGTGTTTTATTTATGAAATTTTTTATAGCTCTCACTGCTGCTGTTGTGTTCTTTTTTCCCTGCGAAAGCTCATGAATTTTCGTGCCAAAAATCATCTCGACAGTCTCACAAAAAGACCGTGCATTAAATCTAGAGTGGAGCAATAAAATGCTATGCAGAAATTTGCGTGCGTATTCGTGGTGTTAAAGGTGATATGCAATTTCAGACTGTTTTTCGACCAGTCGTGATGAAATTAAACAAGTGGAAATGTATGGTGAATTTGATTAGAAAGCTTTTTTTATGGTGAAAAGCTGTGCGCGCAATGTGTATTTTTTTTATTTCTCGCGTATCGTAAAATTAAGACGAATAAAATTGCCAATGGCACAGAGTGAGCTGTACAAATAAGAAGATATCGTGGAGAGGCCATAAATATTTTATTGCAACATTGCGGAAAGAGCACGGGTGGGAAATTAAGAAAGTTTTTCCCACCCAATACGTCTATCCGATTTTGTATTTTTACCCCAAGACATCATCGTGCATCTCGCGAAAGTTGTTTGTTCTGGTGCATAATGCATAAAAGAATTTGCAAAGTAATTATTTCCATGTGAAAGGAGCGAAATATGCCAGCAACAGGAGATGAAGATGTTGGGGGGGTGGAAAAAATCCTTGTATTTCAAAGTTTTTCAATCAAAACATTTCCCCATGACTTGTTCAACTTGAGTGGTTAATAGTTTCTCCATGCAACTTTTACGCCCGCAGGAGTTTTTCACCAGTAAATCCTTCGCCGTTCTGCTGGTTCATCTTAAGCAACTCTTCTCAGACTCAATTGAATGGATTGTCTTAACAAGATCAATGCAATTTCCTCGCCCTTTTTTATCTACAACACCTCCAAACTTACATCACCCATCGAATGTTGATGGAAAATCATCAAGAGTTCGCCGTCAGCGAAAAGCTGCTCAATCAATGAAAACTTTCTAGACATTCAATAATTCATAGCATTGAAGGAAATTCAATTTTCCCTGTGGAGCTTAATCAGATAATCCACCCAGAATCTTCGTATATCGAAGACAATTTATCACGCGTGCTTCTTCTTCCTCATCAAAAGCCTGGGAAAGAGAATTTAATTGAAAAACGCTTTCCACACTGCAGATGAAATTACATTCAATTTTCAGGGTGGAAAAAAAAATCTCCCACTATCAATAATAATGCAATATTAATGAGCGCTGCGAGAGCTTTCAGATTTTACAGGCAGCTGAAACTTTCACGAGGCTCTCATAAGCAATTTTGCATAATGAACTAATGAGATGTTTGAAATTCAAATAAACTTTAATCCACATCCACAATATGGAACTGCTGAGAGTTGATTTTTTTCCACTGGGAAACTTCGGCACTAAATAAATTGCGGAGCTTATTTAGAGTGAATTTAGTGTTCTCTGGCTTATTTGCCGAGAGAAAGTTTTTGGGGTTGAGCTTTTGAAGTTTTTCATGCGCACTTTCTCAATGGAAAACACATTAGAGTCCACTTTTCTTATCAATATGGGGTTTTCCTGAAGAGAGCCTCTGTTATGTAAATAATGGGCATGAAAGTGTATATAGTTTGTTTTTCGTGCGTAATAAATCTAATATTTGGAGGTCAGTGAGGAGAAATATGCGAGGTATTTTGGCACAGAAGAGCATTTATTTTTCAGCCCAGAGGCAATTTGGTACAAGCTGTGTTTCCTGTCAAGCACACTCACAATTCCTTCTCACTGCAGGTGAAACATTATTGTGATTAATTTCCATTGCAGATGAAATTTCCGTGAGAAAAGCCTTTGCAGAGAAACTCCACACAAGATATCTGCTCCGGAAGGTCTTGAACAACAAGATTGAAATGAAATGACGCTAAAATGTTCCGCAATATTTGGGGAAACTCCATGAGAAAATGTGTGAAGTTTTGTAGTTCGCTCACAGGGAAAATGCTCCAAATTGCGAAGAGTTGCTATATATTAACGTTAATGAGAAGCTTTTCGGTGAAAGCTTGTGCTATTGTTCATGCTTTGGCAGCTCAATTCATTCAACACTTCATTTGTACACATTTTCATTTGCTTTATTAAACACAAGAGGAAAATCAGAAGATGACTTTTGAGGAATCTTAATTGTCTCAGTAAAATATTTAAATAATGTTTCTTGCTTTCAAATTATCAAAATTTTAAGAGAAATAATATCAAATGATTATTTTTGTATGTAAAATTACAAAATAATTTCAAAAATATAAATTTTTGATACAATATTTTTAAAAATTTGAATTAAAATTACAAAAAATCACAAAATATTACAATATTAAAATTTGATATAAATTTTCAGAAAATTAACAAAAAAAATACAATAATCAAGTATTAAAATAATTTTTAAGATTGAATTAATCACTAAGTTAATGGTATAAAATCGAAAAATAATAAAAATATTTTTGATAAGATATTTAAAAAAAAATCTAATATGTATTTGAATGCTTTTTTAGAATATTTAATAAAAATTTCAATTTAAATAGCAAAAAAGTCACAAAATTCGCCACAAGCTTAAATCAAATATCAAATATTAAAATATATTATAATTTCAATAAAATCATGCAATAATCAAAAATATTTAAATATTTTTTAATAGTGAATAATCACTAAGTTAATGGTCTGAAATCTGAGGTTTCTTCTCAATTGATTAAATATAACTTGCCACAAATCACTCAATCATCTCTAGGGAAATTTGGAGCACATTTTTGAACAAATTTCAAATGATCAGAGATGGTTTTGTATGCTCTCAGCGTCGCTGTGCTTAATCTCTGGTCGTGTAGGAAAATGCAGAATGCAATTAAGGCGCTGATCGCAAATGCTGCAGCACGTTTTTCATTAAGACATCGCGCTCAGATATTTCTGCAATTTTTTACACCCCATTCCTTCACATACTGGGGTGAGAATTTCGGCCCACTAATCCACTTTGGCGGGGCGGGAAATTAAAAAATGTATATCATCTCAATAGAGCACACGGCGTACTGAGTGTGGCAATATGGAGAGTTCCACAGAGTGTTTTGGGAGTTAATTCAGTGTAAAATATTTATTTGTCTCCTCTGGCGAACGTGCCAAAGAAGCTGCATGCAAACACTGTGCCATGGTTAGCGCCAACATTTGTATTAGCAGGATGGTGTACATCATTTTGGACACTATCCACGGTGATAATTCGTGCAGAGGTGTGTCAGGTGCAAAATGAATGGCTGCCACGCTCTTATGCATTCGCGTGCGCATCATTGTTCTAATGAGTTGACTCACTTTTCCCTCATTTTTCATCCGCCACCCCAAAAACTAGGAGCTTATGGACGAGAATGACACACTTTTCTCCTCACGCTCGCCTGACTTTTTGGCATCAGCGCCACTCTTTCTGCCCTGAACGATGAGACTCGAGTGTCACTCACATTCCAACTAATTGATTAACAATTTTCATCCATTCTCATTTGGCAATTCCGGCTCCGCTCACGACAGTTGGGAAGCATAAAAGCTTTCACGAGTCAAAAGTGGGTGGAATGTTCTCGAGAAGAGTGCCTATCAAGGGGAAGATAGTGTGTCCTTAATCTGTACACCACTTCCTGGCACTTCTGAACGCATTTAAGAGCATTTTCGCCTGTTTCTCACACTCTTCTTCCACTTATCTCTGATTTCTGTCCTCATTTTCTAGTTTTGTCTTCGGAAAAGGCATTAAAAACTGCTTAAAATCCTACTTGAACTTATTTTAATTGTCTTGAAACCCACTCGAAACCTCTAATCATTAAATATAGCAATTTTCACAATATTTCTAGTAAACAATGCGACGTTGAATTTTCCACATTAAAGCCCAATCTGCGGAAAAACCTTAAAAAAAAGAGACATTTTTGAGGTTTTGATTGACTTTCGAGCTGTTTCTTACTTGAAATTTGGCCAATTTGAAGTTTTTCGGCACATAAATACAAATATTTCCTGTCCAAACACAAATTTGATGATTTTAAGGGTTATTTTATCATCCAGAATTTGCTTTAAATCGATCACATAACCTAGAAAAAGCAATAAAAGTGATTTTCTAAGTCAAAAAATGTTTAAAATGCTCTTTTTGTGCAAATATGACAGATATTCTAAATATTTTGCCACTTCTGACCTAAATTTATCCCCCTTGTTGTCCATCATAAGTGTCATTTCGGATGTTATATGACTTTGGTACACTAAATTCATGTTATATTCACCCTTGACAGCTGTATTTCCACTCTGTGTGATTAGTTTTCGACCAGGCGAAAATGCAAACTGAGACACGAGAAGACTTTGTGTATTTTTCCATAAAAATCCTCGTCAGACGTGATTGTTTGCATTTGCGTGGCATATAATCAATCATTAAATCAATGCTGCTTGAGAAGTCTGTCTGAGGGACATAATTTCAAGTTCATCAACAGTGTTTTATCAAGTAAATCCAACTCAGATATCTTCAGGGTTAACTTCACACAAGATAGTCAGTTGCAGTGAAGTTTTTGCGCGCAAAACATCAATTGAATAGTATTTTTCGTGTGTTTTTGTAGTGAAAAATGAGTGAAATTTCAGAGTGGTTTGTGAATGACAATATTTTTGAGGCATGCAAAGTGGAAATTCTGCCCAAAACATCCATTGAATTGAATCTGCTGAGCAAAATATGTCGATTGAAGATTATCTCGACAGATCTTCCAGAAGAGTCTGTTTACTTGTTCGTGAAGACGCTGATTGATGGCGATTTGTGTGAAGATGTTGAAGTGGAGAAAATAAGATATTGTTTTGAGCGAGAGGTCAAAGTGTATCGAGAGTTTCTCAATGACCTGCCAAAGAGCGTCGGTCGAATTTCACCGAGAATGATCGAGACTGATTGTCAGCATCGAATCGTCCTTGAGGACCTCTCGGTCTTGGGCTACAGGAGTCAAAGGAAGTTCCTCAATCTGGTGCAGAGTGAGTGCGTGTTTGAGCAAATGGCAACACTTCATGCTCTCTCTCTTCACCACTCCGTGGTTCACAGAGAGTTCACAGAGTTCAGCAATACAATCTGCGAGAGATTCACGCCAACGCTTCGTCTCATGGAGAGCTGCGCTCGAGTCTTTCTGGCCGAATTAAGGACGTGGGAGGGATTTTCTGTATATGCTGACAAAGTGGAAAACTTTCTTCCTCATTATGCTGAAGTCCTCGCCAGGGAGACGGAGGCGAATCCGCCGGGACTTGGATTCAATGTTCTCTGTCATGGAGATTTGCACATTGGGAATGTTATGATTGAGGAAAACACCCACAATATCGCAATGGTAAGTGATTCTCATGGCAATTGCCGAACCGAGAGACACTCCAGTGTCTTGTTTTTCCTCTCTCTCTCTTTCTTCCAAGGTGGACTATCAATTCAGTGCTTGGCGAAGTCCGGCTTATGACTTCTTCTCCGCCTTCAACGCACTCTGCAATGCCGAGGTGAATCTGAACTCTCGCAATCATCTTGTAAAAGTGTATCACAGGAAATTTGAGCGTACACTCAAGGATAGCGATTATCCTGGTCGAATTCCAACTCTTCTGGACATTCACGTCGAACTGCTGCGCCACGGATTCTTGGATTTCTTCAATTGGATCTACTATCTTCCACTCCTCTTGCGCTACGCTCATGACGACGAGGACTTGAAGACGAAGTTCAAGAAATCTCTTCAAGATACTGAGTACAGAATGATCGTCATGACTCTCTTGCCGTCACTGATCGATAAGGGTTTCTTGGAAGTTGATCGAGAGCAATGAGAGTTAATCATAGAGTTTCTGTAAAGTTGCCCAAAATGACAATAAAATTGGGAAATATCCCCTTATCAGCGGTGTTTTATCGCGAATCTAGTGAGAGAAAATAGCGACAGTATATGGATGATTGCCCAATTTAATCTTATCGCTGAATTTAATGGGGAATTTCGGGCATCACCGCAAATTACAATTGCTAAGAGTTCCTATTCGCGTGAAATCATTTGAAAGCTTTACACCAATTTCTCTCTCCTTTTCTCTCTAAACTCTTAAGTGATCACAAAACATGACCAGGAAAACTGCCGTAATTGTTCTCACTTTCCTCTCCTTGCTATCCTTGTGCTTATCAGTGGCTTCTCTGAATTGCTACACTTGTGCCGTTCTTGGAGAAGATTCTTCAGCCTGCAACACAGTCATGAATTGTGAAAACCACTTTCCTGAGCTTGGACCAAATTATGTGTGCACAAAAGTCGTAACAACGCGTAAGAAAGCTCTAAAATGGTAATTAAACATGGTTTTCTGATAGATTTCCACTCTTTTGCAGTAAACAATGTGACTTCGATGGAAAAGGGCTGCGGCAGAAGTGATTTCTGTGACAGAATGAAGGAGGAAAACATCATTCATGATATCTGCTTGTTGTGCAATTCCAATCGATGCAACAGTTCAACGAATCTACATGGAAATCTCACTGTCATTTCCCTGATAACTGTCTTGACACTGATATACTTGACAAAATAAATAGATTTACATGGAAACAGGTTTCGGTAAACTCAGGAAAAGAGCCGGAGGGAAAGCCAAAAGTGCTGTGTTGTGCTTTTACATGGAAAAAATACTCTTTTTACCATTTTACACGTAAAGAATGTGTAAAAATATAACCATTTTCACTGTTCAGGAATGCAAAGATGATCTGAATCGCTGTTTATTAAGGAATATGCCTTCGAAGTATGTTTAGGAAGTGTCTATGACTTTCCTAGATGTCCGAAACGCTTCTCTGACGCCTGAAATGATGCTTGAAGTGGTTTTTGCTCGCCAAAAAACCCACAAATGAAACATTGAGCGCGAAAATCGTCTTTCCTGGTTCAAAATCTGTTCAAGAATTGCTGGACGAACATTTTGCTTCCTTGCTAGAGTTCCTCGAGGGTCAATTGGCAGCAAAAACACCTCCGGAAGCACATTAAATGCGAAGAATCAACAGATTTCCGAGAGTTTTCGCAGTTGTTAACAATTTTTGACGGAATTCGGGCAGAGATCGGTAGAAATGTAAATAATTCGCCCAACACTGGAAATGTGTTATGGAAATATCAGAAAGTGTATCAATTCTGCTGCTGTGCAAACAGTCTGATAAGATTTTTCGGCTGTTTTATTGCCATGTCGCAATCGAATTGAACTCTGCCTTCGGAGAGTAAAACACTCACAAATTCTTAACGTGCAAACCTTTATTAATTAATGGCATTTTATTATAAATTATGGTGCAATGCAATAAGAATATGCATAAATGATTAAGGAAAACTCTTCCAGTTCACATTATAGAAAGACTTTTGAATAGAGAAAAGCTATTCCCAGGAAGATCACTGATGTGAAGACGCTCGCCTTGAGAACACTTGAATTGTTGCAGCGATTTCTGTTGCAAGTGTGGCAGCTGATGATCTGGTTTTGTGGCACTGGAGGACTGCTGCAGAAGTTGTTCGGATGACATCCTCTGATCGTGGCAGTTCCATTGCCTGAAAAGACGGTTTTCCTGAAACTTTCACGATTACAAAGTGTCTTTTACTTACCCTGGGAATAGACTAAAACCGAGCAAACGCCATTATTGCACTGATGCTGAGGAATTTGCGAAACATTTGGCGGATATGCACAACTCGTGCCATTTGTTCCATGGCAGAAGTAGCACGTCAAGGAAAACACTGGGAAATAGGAGAATTTTTGAGAAAAAAAAACTCACTTAAGATTTATTCTTGAGAAATCCATACCATTTGGAACTGACAGAGAGAATATTAGAAACACCAAAAGCAACTTCATATTTGCAGAGTTTTCTTCACTTTTCCACTTTGATCTGGTTGAAGGTTTGCCGGTGAGTAAAACGGAGGAGTTTCTCGCACTGACTTTAGTCTCTAGGAAAATTTCCCATAAATACCATGATAAAGTGATAAGCGAAGGGATTACAAGTGTGACCAGAAACAAACATTTGGCTAGGGTGTCATGATAAATTCCACACTCAATGATTGACGAGTTTATCACGAATCTTTTTCTGGTTAATTTTAAGAAATGATTCACTAAGACTGCGTAATTGATTAAGTGCGTCAATTGATGGTCCAATTGATTATCTCGAGTTGTTTTTTTTCTGTTCGGGGATGCCTTGATGGTCTTGATAAGCCATAGAGTTTCGCAATTCAACATCACAATCCACGCTTTCAGTGCTGAGTGATCCTTAAGTAAGATCACAGTCCCGAAGCGATTATTTAAATTGTGATTTATAAGAGAGAATTTCCTCGAGTGTGCACAGGGAATATTTTGCTTCTTTATAGCCGAGAGGGTTTCTTGTCGATGGCCCATGAACCTTTGATGGCACGAAATGAGGCAAATTTCTCTCTCTCCATGACGAAGAGGAGGAGAGAAATATAAATTGGCCACATCATGTAAACATTCATATATTGAAGTTGCCAGCCAAGGAAAAATGATTGTGAAGCATTCTGTGTTGTTGAATAGTTTATTGTTGCCATTTATCCACCAAATGGATCCTCTTTCCCGAGGCAGGCGACTCCAGAGGGGTTGGCTCCCCTGCCACCCCGCCGGCGGATCGGCCTTACGACACTTTTGCCTCTGCTTTTGATCTCTGACCACGGACAAAATAACACATCGGCCCCATCGGCCGAAATTTAACCCTCCACTTTTTCACTCCTGCGGCGAGAATGGATGGAGTGCCGGAAAACTTCCTCCGGAGTCAATTTATCAAATGGCTATGACTCCAGCCGGAGGTGAAATATGGCCAAAACACATTGAATTGCGATTCTCTGCTGACTTTCCGCACTCAATACTCCGACATAATCGCATTCACCATAACGCGCCATTATCGTTTCGATCAATTTGCACCGAATTCGCGCAAATTTAATGAACGCGCGACACCATATTGGACACTAATGATAGTGAATGAGCTCCAAACTTGCCTGGCCTCTTAATGCCATCCCACTTTGGCTGCGTGTTGAGTCAAAGGGAATAATGCACGAGAGGTTGGCAATTAGCCCTGTTCGACGATCCACCGGCAATTCAGGCTCAATATTAGCCACGAATGGCAAAATTTAATGAACTGCTCGGCTATTTTGTTTGCTGATGAAATTCGTGGTACTCAATAGATACTCGGCGAGCCATTAATTTACTTAGGCTCTCAAAGTAAACACTTTGTGTGTTTCGCATACTTCTCTCCCAAGCAAGCTTGCTAGCAAGCTTTCGAGCTTTATGATTGAGTGTAAAACATGAGAAATGTTCAATTGATTCTGCACAGAAAGAAAACTTTAGTAGGAATTTGTTAAATTTTGTCGAAAAATTTAATAAAACGTTTGACAGATTATTGTAAGTCGAATTCCCTATGCCAACCGGCAAAACACCAAGCCCTGCTCAATTGTTTTCCTGGAGAACTTGTGGTGGGAATGCTACTGCCATGGCGGCCTTCTCCTTCTGACCAGAATCTCGCTGCTAGCATTATTTGACGGCAGAGGCAGCACTGAACGAAAGACATACGTGAAGTATATTTTCACTTATTTTCCGCGAGAAACACTACATTATTTGCTGAATTATGACCCTTTTCACGATAACAATACGCTCTATTCCGCCATCTTTTCACATCTGAGCTGCCGAAGAAATAAGGCCAAATATACTAAAAATGTTGAAAATCTATGGTGGTAAATGACGGGAATAAAAGTTTATAAAAGTATGAAAAACGGTTGTTATATAATTGCAAAAATTAGGCTAGGACACATGAAATTTCGGCCAATTTTACTTTTGGTGTTAAAAATTCGATATTTCTCTCAATTTTTAAGACAATTACCTTAAGATAAAGGATGATTAGAATTTAATGGTCTTTCAAATGGCGTTGAGATTATGACGATATCTCAATTCTGGGCTAAGATATTGCAAAATGCAGAGAAAACTGCGTATACAGCAGCGAAAATTAAGTTAGGACACTGCTTATTTTGCTCTAAATCCACGTTGTAAGCATAATACTGACTGGGATAATCACATCACATCATGAGTTTGGAACGTATAGAAGACATTTACTTTGTAGGAAGCCTTGATTTGGATTTATCAACTTGCTTTTTATATGCTTTATATGCTAATTTTCTCTGTTTTTCGTAAAAATATTCGAATTTTAACGAAAAATTACCTCTTCTTACATACTTTTTGTAACTTTTCGTGAAAAAAGCAATTCACTATCATGATTAACAAAATTTCTCGCTTTTTCAACTATTTTTTTCTTTCTGTGTACTCACTTTTACCAAGAATAAGGAGGCATAATCAATTTTGGCGGGAATGTATTTTTCCCTTGGTTATCATTAAGCATTATAATAAGCAAATGATTAGAGCTGAGGTGAAGCCTCATCACTCGTGCCTCATTAATTATTTCAATTTCATTTTCTCAGGCGTCGCCAGAAAACACTCCACATGTGGCAAAGTGGATGTGATTAATTATGCCCGGGAAATCCATTCAGGAGAATTCCGCCAGCAAACTATATTATAAATGATCACAATTATCTCCTCATCAGGCTCAACGGTTGCATTCTGCAACTGCTCTGATTTTTCCTCACTCATGCTCAATTGGCCGTAAATAGCAAAGGGAAAACTCTAGTTAAACTTCAGTGAGTCATATTGCACTTAACAAGGGCAGAGTTTGAGTTAAAAATCTACTTTGTCCGCTTTTGGCGCTCAATTCACGTTGAAAGTGTACAAAAGGGATTATGTCATGTGTAATTTATTATCAAGAGTGAGTCAAAAAGTTAAATTAGTTTTACATTTAGCAAACTTTGAAGGGAAAGTTAAAATTTTTCCACTGATTTTCCATCCCATGTTTTTCCATCTCATTCAGTCATCAAGTGAGAAAATATTGTCGTTAAATTCCAATTATATTCCATCATTTAATGACACTTTATTAGCCATGAAAATTAAGTCAGCATTTTAAAATTGCTCTCTTTGTGATTTTTCCTAGAGAATTGCGTTGAAACTGGTTGAAATAGTGAAAAAAAAGTATGGAATTATTTTATGAAATATACAAATTACACAGCTTTATCTTCCTTTTCTGCATAGGAAAAAAAATCCTGCAATTTTTCCACTGTGTCTCTGTGATAAATTCAATGAATCTCACAGTGGAAGGCGGACGAAAAAGGAGCGGTTAAAATTGAATTTGCTGTAATTGCAAATTGCAATAAAATAACAAGGTGGAAAGTTTTCTGTTTAATTGAAAAGCTCCCCATAGTCAGGAAATAGAAATTCTCAGTGTGTGTGTATAAAATAGAAAAACTTTTTAATTGCATTCACAACAATATTTTACATTTACACATCTGCTTAATGGCAAACATTGTAGGTGACTGTATTAATGTGCATTATTGTGTGTGCAGAACAATTACTGCGATGAGGTTTTGTGTGCATTTTCCCGCGGACGAGAAAATATTATTCAATTACATTCATATTCAATTTAACTTCAGAAATTAACTATATTGTCAGTAAATGAGGGATTTTCGAAAGTTAACTGGATGGAATGCATTGTTTTATAACAGTGTTTTTAATGAGAATTATTACTGAATCACATTTGATTTGATAAATGAAGAATAGTTGAAGAAGCAAGGGGGAAATAGTACACTTCCAAATTTGCTTGACACTTCTAGACTATGAAGTTCTTTGTTTCCACATGAATTCCCAAAATATAATTAATTTCTTGAGTGTCTATTCAATATTTCGGCAAGACTTGATTAAAAAACGCATTTTTGGACATCTTTTCCGACCATAACCTCAAAATATCCACCAAGAAATCTATAAAAACTCAGTTTTGAAACATTCTAGATCACGAAATGAACTCAAAACTGATAATTCGAAAGCAAAATTGTCCAAAAAGCATTCTATATAAACATTTACCAAATCTAAATTACCATTTTTGAGGTTATGTTCATGTCCAATACAATTTGCTGTGTTTCTTGGCATCAAAGGTTCAGAAAAGCACTGTTTATTTCATGTAAATGCCAAATTGCGGCAATAGAATATGAATTTTCACAAAATTTGTCCCTGATACATAACATAACCTCAAAAAATGATTTTTATTATTGAGTTTGCGTGAAAATCGAAGTAATTTCAAAGAATTGGCTCAATTTGTCAGTAAAATAAGCTCTCAGGGAAGTAATACTGTAAGCTTTTGAACACTAAGTACTTCTGCTGATCTGTACACCACTTCTGACTGCATTATCTACCCCTTGTGAAGAAGAATTCAATGCAAAGCCGTGAATTGAAATGTTTTCCATGCACACTTCGTTCTCAGCTTCAGCCTCGGATTCGAAAGAGTATAATTCATTGGGTGACAACAGGGAGCCTTGCCCGCCACCCTCTGTCGATAGGGAGTGACAATGACTGAGGCAATTACACTCACGAGGGGGTCGATTTGTATTCAAAGTGGCTGACACTGCCAATAAATTACATTTATTCCACCTTCACGCATGAGCTTTCGCCCAAGAGAGCGCCGTTGCGACCCCACTTATTTTCAAGTTATTAAACAACGTGACACGCCACCGAATCGTGAAGGATTTGTCACATGACACTCCACCACATGTGGCAATATATAGGCCGAGTCCCCGGTGTGCGTGTCACTTGCGGGGGTTGGGGCGGACAGGAGAAGAGGGCGACATTAATTTTGGCAGGGAAAAAAGGAATGGCTGGAGCAAAAATGTAGGCTTAAACACCTGGATTCAATATATAAATATTAATGCAGTGACAGGGTGGGGGAAGAGTGTGGGGAATGTGCGAATCATGGTCACATTCTGTGCACTTGCGGTTGCTGCAAAAATTGCGATAAGTGCTGTTGCTATCGCTATCGCTGGCAACCACTTGACTGAAATAGTCCCATCCACGTAAACACTATAATAAATGAAGTTTAAGGAAGCCGGGATTATAGGCACACTCTTCCCAGAGCAGGCGAGGGAATGTCTCTATTTTCCTCGCAATTTCCCCATCGATTTTCCCAGGGATTTGCCATAAAAGCTCTCTCTCCCTCACATCCCCATCAGAGGCACACTTTCGAGTAACTTTCTATTTGGAATTAAAAAGTTTCGCTCCTCGCAATTTACCTGGCTGTGCTCCGGAAAGAGGGTGGCAAAAACACACCCCCATTCCGCATGATTTCGGGGGTGTGCTGGGTGGCGAGCATACACACGGCGTATGTTTGCTGTGGAGGGTGAAGAACAACAAAGTGAATCACATGTAAACTCACATGTGAAAGCCACTCATAGAGAATTGGGGTGTGCAATAATTTCTGGATGAAATGTAATTTGGGATGTGGTGTCAAGGGAGATTTCTATCATGCATAACACAGAACAAGTGTGACACATGGTGGGGAGAGCAAACACGAATAAATTTTAATTTTTAAAACTACCATCATGATACAGAGGGCACAGAGACAGTGTGCCAGAAGAGATTCGTGTGCAGCCAAAAAGGGCATCTCCAGAGTCCGGAAATCATGATGTTTGGGGGTGGCGAGATGGCATCCCTTGCAGCGAAACTGTATTTCATACTTCGCATTTCCAACGGCCAGACAGCGACAATAAATTCGTAAAATATCCGCCCTCAGACGCGATGTCGCTCTGGGCCTTTGCCATGACTGATCGAAATTCATTTCAATTCCATTCAATATATTATACAGGAAAAAAGTCAATATTTGCTGGATGTCGGAAAGTTGGAAAATCTGCAAAGAACATTGTGAAAGGGGAGAAAAAAAACAGATAATGGAATAGGAAAACTAACAAGACAGGTAGAAAATTATCTGCAGACTTTGCTTTCCCAATTTTTAATTTAAAACCATGAAAAAAATACCAGTGATGGCTGGAAATAATTTATTCAACACAGAACAAAGCATAATGTTTGCTAAATCACTGTTTTGAAATGAGTTTTGTCGGAGATTTCAAAATTTGTGTCACTCGTCGGTAATTTTTACGCCGCCAAGAAGAAAAAAGAGAAACTTCCATGAAATATCTTATCAAGACTTGACTATTGACAGTGTCAAGGGGGAGATAATATAACTAAAATCTGTCCAACACTTCAAACTTTAAAACTTTTAAATCTTCCATCCAATATTTCTGTAAAAATCCACTGAAAACCGCTTTTTGGGTATAATTTCCGAGGATAACTTCAAAAATATCACTAAGAAATCTTTATAGACTCTGTTTCATATCTTTTTATCACTTGCGAATGGCCTTGAAATTGCTGATTATGAATCAAAATCATCCAGAAACTTTCCTAAATAAGCATTTTTATGTGCAAATCAATGTTTTTGAGGTTATGTTTGAGTTCAGCATAATTTTCAGTGTTTCTTGACATCAAAGAGACAGAATAACAGTGTTTACTGAAAAGAATTGCTAAATTCTGCCAATAACTGGTCATATTTCGTGTTTCTGCATAAGAATTTATGAGCTAGAACGCGAATTATTCACTTGATTCGTTACATAACCTAAAAAAAAGAATATTGTGATTGTTTCTATGAAAAAATTTGGACAATCTGTACACCACTTCTGACTGTATTGTCTCCCCCTTGGATAGTATTTAACAATGGGCGATAAAGCCGTGTGATAAGTTCACATTTCCTGATAGATTCCTCTCGACTTCTCACTAATGTTTTCATACTTTTCACAGCAAGTGAAGTTCGACAAGTGAAACTCAATATGCAGTCTCTCAAGTCTCTGGGACTTCTTCTCATTCTCCATCCTTTCTTCAGGGGTAATTTGCAGTGGTTGTCTTTTCACTCGTCAAAGCGAGTTAATTACAGGAGAGTTTCTCTTGTCTTGTGATCTTTAGTTGACGCTCTTGAGTGCTACTCTTGCCTGCATTCCACCCCCGAAGACTGCTTCCGGCCCAAACTTAACGGGCTCAGCGTGATGACCTGTCCTTCCACCTTCACGCACTGCATAAAAATCGTGGGAAATTGTGTGAGTACAATTCCTCATGCCAAGCATCTTGTCATGTCTTAAACTTCTCCGGCAGCTTCCGATGGCGTGTGGATGACGAGAGACTGTGGACCAGCTGAAGTTTGTCAAGCAATTGAGGTCGTCAAAGACGTTACGGAGTGTCACATTTGCGATAGGAAGCTGTGCAATTCCACCTCCTTTGCAGATAGTTGCTGCTTTTTGCTCATTTTGGCACTGGTTGCAGCTCAGCTCAGGTGTTTTGTCAAGTGAATCTTGTCGATTCACTAAGACATCGACACGACTGATAAGGAGCTCACTCATTGAACACACCTTAATCTCTGTGACGATTTCCCACAAGCGAGTCTCACTCACGAGCACTGATAAGATATTGAGGGTAAACGAACAATGTTAAGCATGGCAAAATGCTGTGAAATTTAATAAAGATTTCCCAGAGAAAGAACTTTAAAGTTTCAAATCAATTTTCCATGCGGAAATCTTCAAAATGATTTGATTAACGCTGGCAGGAATACCAAAATGACTTCACTCTTCATTAAACTGACTAAATTAATAAGTAATTCATGTTCAGAATTTGTATTTAATGAATTTAAAATTTAATTTCCATTAGCCCAATTATTGTCCGGTTCCGCGAATTATGCACTATCTTTATTCACTTTAAAATTTCCATGGAAAATTGCACGGTGAATCAATATCCACGAAAATATCACTTACAGGGCTCGTTATCTAATCAGTTGAGCGAATCGGAGAGCGCGATAAGCTCTATCTCTCTTTTTCCCAATGTGAGGCATTTTCTGGCCATAGTCGAGCCCTGGCCAGAGTATTTTCCACACCAATTCGTGCGAAAGAGTGAAATATTTCATAGATTTTCCCCCTGGAGAGTGAAAATAGGTATCTCTGCTGCGTTGTGATAAATCAGGTGAAATGGCATCAAAGATAATTCTGCTGCTCCTCTCGCTGGCTGTGGCGCTGCAGTGGGAAAGAGGTGGGTGTTTTCCACGGAGGAAGTTTGTGTGCTCCTTAACCTCTGATTGGGGCTCTTGTTTGTTCTGCTCCAGTGGAGGGCATCCGGTGCTACGAGTGCTCGTCCAGCGACAACAAATACTGCGCCGATCCTCCTGACACCGGCAGTCTGCAGCCGGTGGAATGTGGCCCCGGATCGACAGTCTGCTCCAAGGAGATCCTCAATATCTTCGACAAGACCGTGGTCTCGCGATGGTGTGCCGACGAGAACTTCTGCCGGAACGTCGACGCGGGAATTGGCTCCTGTTCCCTCTGCCTCACCGATCTCTGCAACACTTCGAGCGTCCTCAAGAGCTCCTCCTTCGTCGTTGGCCTTCTGACTTTGGCAGTTGTGCGGCGGATATTTGCAGTGTGATGTAAGAAAATGAGTCATTAGCAGCGCGCTTCTCAGCTCATTTGTGCCTTCCATGCCTTTTCAGATGGTCTTTTTATATGCAAGAAATGTACAACTTTTCGTCGGGAAAGTGAAGAAGAGAGAAAAAAAAACGAGTGTAGCAAATAGAGTCGGAGAGGAAGGAAAACTTTAGCGCTTTTTTGTCTCCATTTCCCAGAAGCTAGCCTGGCTCAGGCAAATTATGAAAAGTGAGATGTTAACCCTCATTTCTTCCGTCATCTTGCGCGTCCAACAAGTATAAAAAGAACCGCGTGACATCCAAGCCATATTTCACTCTCTTTTCTGAATGTAATTTACAGCGACGGCAATTAGGATTCATTCCTGGACCTTATATGCAGAGTATATTTTCGAACACTTTGGCTTAAAGAGTGTCAGGTTGTTAGAGCGCAAAGTCATAAATTGTGGTATTTTCTCAGCGATTTTCCCGCCGATTTCCACTGATTTCCTCTCGCTTGAGAGATCCAGGAAGGTGGGTGTGAAGACTTCTGGAGATTTATATCATTCTCCTTCGGTTGCGACTCTTCCAAGATGTCCTTTTTGTCTGCACTTCATTCACACCCCTTGATAACACACTATTTCCTTTTGCTGCTCACTTTCTCCACCCCCAATTTGCGAGATACTTAAACTTTTCCTCTTGAAAATGCAAAATGTTTCATTCGAATTGCGCCTGCAATATAATTTACTGAATTATTGATTTGGATTGTCTTCCATTTGGGAGGTTTTTTTTTCTCCTTGCCTGCAAAACTTCAGTCATCTCTGTATTGACCGAGAAATGAGGAAAATCAATGCAGATAAAATTTTATGGCGACATTTCTCCCCCTGCAAAAATATTGCAAATTGAATTATTGACGAGACTTTCCTTTGCCTCACGTACAAAAGGCCGTGCTAAAGGAGTTTTTTTTCCCCTGTTGGCTGTATTTAATTGAAAATTCCGTCTGGCATGACAGAGAGTGCGAATCTCCGGAGTTTGGGAAGGAGGAAGATGAAAGAGAGCACACTTCTCGTGATATTAATTAGTAATAATTTTCCCAGCGCCCGTCATACACCTGAACAGGCGAACAAAGAATGTCTTTTGAGTGGATTCGAAGAGACTCTCGGCGCGCGTCGCCATAAATATTAAAATGTAAAATCATCCCCATTTCGCTTTCTAACATTCCACACAGTTAGACGGCATATATAGTTGTGATTTGCCAGCTCTTCTCTTTTCGGCAAACATAATTATTCATACTTCCCTGACGAGTGTTGAGGACAAAGGAGAAACAATTACATGGAGAATTCCAAATGATGGCACGATGACTAATTTGCCACCACCACCCACTCGAGACGCGGGGGGATGAAAAAAGCCACCCTCTGCGTGTGGTAAATGATGACTCTGTGCTTCTATTGTGAGCAATGAGTCTGAAATTATTAAATATTTATGATTTATATTGCGAATTAATTTTTGTGTCATCCCACCGACATATTGATGTCATTAGAGACGTCTTACAATTTTCCCATCCACTCGAATCCGTGATAAATAGTCGTGGATGACGCTTTTCTGTCGCCTTTGACCCCATCGCGTCGGAAAAGCTCCCAAAGCACAGAACAAAAGAGCGGCAAATTCAGACCATCAAGAGACCAAAATTATGCACAACCGGAATAAATCCGGGGGAAATATCAAACATTAAAGCATTTATTGTGCCGAGTTATACAATTAAATTTAAATCGGCATAGATGATTAATTCCATACGTTTCCCGCATAATTACATCCGAAAATTTCATCACACATAAACCATATTTTCCCGCCATTTCGCCATCAAAGATCTGGAAATGGCGCGGTTTAAAAAATTTCCACCCTCATTATTTGAACAAATGCACTCCAAACCACACACAATGTTCAATTGTAATGCAATTTTCCGCCCACTTCCATGATTATTTGGGGGTGATTAATAAAAAAGGCCGGCCGAGTTGCGTTACCTGCGGGGGAATAATTAATCAGGAGCAATGAGAGCGAATAATCCGTCCTTTTGCTTTGGGAAAATTCTACTCAATAGCATGTGAATATTCGCATTCCTTCGCGCACAGACGCTCGTCTAATTGATACAAATGACCAACAACGAGGAATGTGACACGAAAGAATTTCTCTCACTTGCAACACTGATGCCTTGGTTGATTATTCTTTATTTGCACGTTCATAAATTAGTCATGTTACTTTCATTTGTTCCTCCTCCGCTCCTCAACGGAGTTGACACTGAAGAAGATTTATAAGTGAGCTACGAAAGAGTCTCGCTTTCCCGAAATCAAGGGAAAATCTGGCTTCTTCGCAACTCTGTTCTGCTGTTGGGTCACTCAGATGTCTCTGGCCTCACTGTGGATGGCGAATAAATCGATACAACAAATGACAAACTGAGATTATATTGCTCGACACTGTCGGAATATCAAGTGGCTCATTTTTACCCCAAAAAAACACCCAAAGCCTGAGCAGTCACATCGCAAGCATCCTCATGAGGTGAATCTAATAAAGGAGGAGAGATGTCTCTTCATCAGCATAATTCTATAATTTTATCATTTCCCTGCCATAAGACAGAAATTTTATTAAAATAAGAAAAAAAAAAACCATCGATGCCGTTGCCTCAATGGCGCATGCAGATGAAAATTTTATTCTCACCGAATTGATATCAATTTTCCGTGCAAGGGTGCTTTTATCTCTCAACACGTGCTCCCATCAATGCACAACAGTGTTTCGACATCCAGAGAGGAATCTCCGGCTTGGAATCTCTCATGGAAATTTATTCAAAAGCTCTCTGCAAATATTTTACAGATGTCAGAATATGGTGGAATTCAAAAATGTATTACATGACTTTTCTCTCCCCCTTTTTCCTCCACAGATATTCAATTTTTTATCAACCCACACTCTGGCGTGATTGTCGTCGGGATATCAAGTCTCGGAATATGCACAGAGTTCAGTGATTTACCAAATCACTCGCAATTCTTTACATTTCCACCATGGAAAAATAGATAGAAAAGCGACAAGAGATGCTGATCAAGGGGGAGATAAAACTTCAGCAGTGTTTAAAACACGCTTTTTTCTTACTTTCCTCTCCTATTTCGATCATAACCTCAAAATTTAGGACTCTTTGACCTAAAAAGACGCCATTCTTACTTGTATAACGCTGAAAACTTACAAAGAAACTGTTTTTGAGAAATATCTGAAGTTTTCAGCGGATATTATGATGCATTTTGGATCATAACCTAAAAATTATCTTAAAATCAAAGGCAAATCTAGGGAATAACAATTTTTTAATTTAATAAGAACACAGAAAAGAGCTAAAATTTGCTATTTAATAGTAGAAATCCATCAAATATCTCTTGAAATTGACCATTCTGTATTCCACACAATATTTTTGAGGTTATGATCAATCTTAATCTCCTATAAGACTTCTAATTAATAGAGTTTAACATTGAAATCTTGTGATCTTCATCAAATATACCAACTTAGTTTCAAGAATGAATGATTTTGGAGGTTATTTAGTGACAAAATTTGTTTTAAATTATCACATAACCTAGAAAAATGTAAAGAATCATTCTTATTGCATTAATTCTTTTTGAATGTCACTTTTGAGCGCATCATATTGAAGTTATTGAAACACTTTCACTGAATAGTACACTTCTTCTAATCAAAATGTCTCCCCCTTGATGCAGACAGACGAAAACGCGGATAAATTCATTGGGAAAGTGTTCCTAGGAAATGTATGTAAAGCGGAGTCAAAAGAAGTCCCGCTCCTCCATAGCATAAGAGTTTTTCTTCTAGGGGAGGCTTTCATGCAATTTTCACATCTTCTGATTCATCAATTCGTTAAATTTTAATCTCACCAATCTGCACGCTCAAACATCTAAATGGGATCGTGTTCCATAAAGAATCCTCTCATTCTTTCTCCATCATCATCCTCGTCCCGTCAACATTAACTACACAAACACTCTCTGGCGCTTCCTCTCTCTCTCTCTCTCTTTCTCGCTCTCGCGAGAGGAAAAAGATGAGGAATGACGGAGAATCTGAAAATTGAGAATTTTCACCAAGTATGCAAACCACCGCCCAAAAGAGATATGGGCTCCTTATAAATGAAGATATTATATCATGTCGCATATTAAATTTTCTCGAGGGTGCTCTAAAACATCCACTCAAGGAATCCACCCTCGCCAGAGTGTGGTTTTTTCTTCCCCAAACATAGCTGAATATATATTTAATGTGTGAATGACAGAATTTTCCCACCCCGTCAGAAGTTTGCAGCGAAAGGTTTCGAGCAGGTTCAATACTCGCTCTTTTTTCTTCTCCAACCCCTCAATTGCCACGTGTGAATATCTGGTGGGCTCTGAAAAATTACCTCACAGGGAGTTTGAAGAGTTGCCTGTTGTGGGGTGAAATTGCGAGGGGGGGCGAAAAAAAGTTTAAAGTAATATTGAGACACTCCAGAGGCAATTGATGGCAAGTTTATCTCAAAAATACAGGTGATTTTGCGACGCTATAAAGCATTTCCATATCAGTTTGTTTGAGTTTCATCAACTTGAAGCCGAAGCGGGGGGAAATTTTCCACTCATACGAATGAGATATCCACTTTTCACACACTTTTTCAACTTTTGAATTTCCCTCTCTCTCTGAGCTAATAACGAGCGAGACACAGAAAACATTCCGCCGGTGTTTTTTTCTTTCCCAAATGCAAAATACAAGGTGTGCTTCGAAGCCTTCTCTGGCGAAGTTCATGAATAAGAATACCTTTGTTATGCAGATGATTTCACTGGTCGATACACCACCGTGGGGAGCATTTTAATTAACACACAACCCCATTTCAATGGGCGCGGAATTATCTGCGAAAAAAATCTGCTACTCTTTTGCTGGAAAGGAAAAGAATTCCACACTTTGTAATTAATGAGGCTAATAAATCCAGTCTGATTCACTTCACTTTCCATCGTGAATGGGAAAAGGAATTTTCCCTGGGAAAAGCTTCGTGCGAGGCGAAATCGTGCGGATGAAACTGAGGATGAATTCAGTGCAACTGAAGATTGCAACAAAACAAAGGGGGTTGAGGGTGAAATGCTAAGTGTATTTGCCATTATCACTGCATTCGCGGCAAATGGCGAAA